TGAAACATTCCTCCAGGTCTGACTTAAGTCATTATACAGAAAACATTTTCAGTACACTATCATCAGCACTGTTTTTCCTGACAGAACATGCAATTATTCCCAAATTTGATTACAACCACCATGAATGTAAACAACTAAAAGTTTAATTTCTAGGGAAGTATCAGGACGGAAATACTTGGGAGACAACCAGTGGAGACAACACAAATCCAGAGTCTGTGGAAGTTAATTTGGCTTTCTTCCTGTTAGTATAAATGTGGTAAAACCTCGACTTTAGATGTTTGTACAGTTGCAGTTTGACACCACACAGGAGCCTTATGAATGATACTTGAGCTGTCTTGTGCTTGCTTGCAGACGTGCAGTACCAGTGCGTCCCGCCGTGCCATGACGCAGCCCGGGATGAGCTGAACCGATTACCGCAGAGGCACGCTCTTGGGTGAAAGATGTCCCAAAGCCCCCTCTCCATTAACAACCCCAATCAGCTTTTGTCAAGAGTTTGAATGTTGGCTGGATTCCAGGATCAGGTGAATCCTGTTCTCTCAAGAATTTTTGATTCACTGTTCAGATCAAATGTTATCTACATTATCAAAAATGTTTTGAAAAGGCTTTTTTTTCCTCTTCTAAATACTGAATATTAGAACTTTTTGACAGGCTTGAACCAGCTATAACCTGTCGATTGTCCCAATGGATGCACAATGCTATTTCCCCATTTATAGTCGTACTACTACAATTATGAAAGGAAAACCCTGTACTGTGAACTGAAACCTGTGGAGCCTGTCCTAGGTGTTGCTGCTTGCACATTCATCTACAGGTAGCTGGAAAATACTGCTGGTCTGACCTGACAGTGACTTACACGTATTTTGCCAGGGTACAAATATGGAGCACAACCTCGGGTAACTCATGTCCTCTGTATTCTCTAAGGGGACTTGATTTAAAGGCAACTAAAGTGAGAAGAAAGACTCCATGAACTTAGAATGACTATGGAGCAGAAAAACGCATGTGTACTCTGATTAATCCTTCATTGGTGATTAATCCTTCTGTGCCCAGCGCTCTCTTAACAGCACAGCTTTAACAGCAACCGCAGTAAAACAGGTCTGAGGGCAGGAGAGGGGCGACGATCTCATGAACCCGTAGAGTTTGAAAAAAATTTCCTACTTTTGTACTTATTTTTTTAAAAAATGCCTGCCTCACCTGTCTTTTAAGCCTCATTCATTTCCAGTGGAGAAAATGAAAACAAAAGGAAAAGGAAGGAGTATTATCCTGATCCTCACAATCCCTCTGGCCTCTTCTGGATCTGGGATACATACTTAATGGGTTTCCCCCTCCTCCCCAATACATTTGTATGCAATTCCCTCAGACTTTATTTGCAGAATTGTTTGTAAAAACTCTGCATTTAGTTAGAAGATTAGAATGGGCCTGCAGAGCTGTTCCATATTTTTTGTAACTATTATTAAGAGTATGTATGTGCTTTTTCTAAACCAGGAGTTCTGAGTAAAACTCCCTGGTATTACAACAAACCCTTTTGTTCCCAGGTGTGTATCATGTCTTCAGCATCTGCATCTGTATATAGATCACATGCAGCTCTATACATATACCAATATCATCATTTTCTTACTGCCACAGCTGCATTTAGTGTCAACTCTCTCTGGCACAAAATTAAGTTTTTAGGACATGCATTGATGTACTCTGTACAGATGACTTAAAGTCTGTTGAAAGTACTTTTAGCTATTTGTCATACTAACAGCTTATTATCCTTTTTTTTTTAATAGAAAATTAAATGGAGCAAAAGAGTCTATCAAGAATGCAGATGTAAAAAATATAACCTGAAAAGCCAGAGACCATAAAATTTGACCTATTTTCCCTTTGCATGGATATATTGGAGTAGAAATGAGTTTTGCCCAGAAACAAGTATTCTTGGTTGGAAACAAAAAGAATAAGTTTCTGCATGAAATACGTTTAACAGTAAAATAACAACCTCCTAAAAATAGAGAGTTGTCGTGTATTTGAAACCGGTGCTGTAATGATTTATAAAAACAGTAGGTTATCTTGCTTGTTTTGTATTCCAAACAAGCAAACTGTGTTGCCTGAGCTAAAAGTAATAAACATTGTTTACTTGTGTTTACTACTGACCACACAAGTGGTTCCAACAGGCAGATTCTTCCTTTCCTGCTGGAAAAGTTGTGGTCTTTGAGGGGAGGGTAGAAAATGTTCCACAAGGCTTCCCTCTTGGCACACTCTACAACCTGGACTGTCAAAGTAAGAGATATGGCAGAGCACCCTCTTCCGTGTGGAAGGAATGAGGGGTTTTCCCCCCCTCAGCACTGTAAACTCTGAGGTTAGCCACAAGCATGTGTGAATTCACATGAAGGCTTTCAAGAATAAACCTTCCAAGAAGGGCCTGTTTGTCTGGCTTTACTAGAGTCATGCTACTGCGACCCGCTCCGCTTAGAACTGCCTTTGAGACTTGCAAAGGGGAAAGAAGACCCCTTTCTCCTTCCTCCGTTTCTGAGTTGAGAGAGTTTTTCAGAAAGGTTATAGTGGTATCGTATCACAAATCACTCTTCAGTTTCTGCAGCTGAAGCCCGGGTTATGATGTGTCTTTCCTTGCATTTCCTTCACCACTAGTCCATGGGTCAGTTATGTGTAGGCCTCTGAGCAGGCCTGGCTCTTCGGTACAGAGGTATTAGCCCCACTTCAGACTGCCTTGCTGTGCATTTTCAGAGGCACTCTTCTCTGAGGGACCTGAGTACTTTATTCAAATATTTGGCATGCTCTGCTGTATCACCTTCTCCTCAGTGAGGAACCTTTTGCAAGCTCAAGGAGGCTCTATTGTAATTCACAGACCGAACACATTTACCTGAAAGTAGTAAGGTAGAGAAATCTCAGATATAAAATTCTTCTTCATTAGTTGGTGAATCTGGGCAAACAGAATCATGATCATCTAGAGAACAAGGTGTTGCTGTCAAGGACTGTTTGGGCTCCCTGGAGAGAGAGGCTGAAGGTGACGCTGAAGATGACAGGAATAAGCTGGGAGACCATTCAGAGAGAGAAGGTAATGAACCATCCACGGGCTCAAAGGTATTGCACATGACCGATGCAGGTCTTCCACTAGTTGCTGCCTGTTTAGTTTTACCCATACTTTGTGGCGGAAGGGATGTTTCCAAGTCACTGCAGAATCCATTCAGGGCAGAGTATGCAGAGACCACAGACAGATCTGAGAAGGACAGCTTCCTCCCCGTGTCTACATCAGTCTCCTGTGCGCCCTCTAAGTCATCGATGTTAAGCCTGGGGCTGCATCTCCACGTTTTTAACCTGGTTGCAGGAGACCCAGTGTTTAAAAACTGAATTGGTTCGCTGAAATGAGAAGTCTCTGAGGGTGAAGAGGAGCTCATTGTGGGCAAGCAGAACAGAGACTTGCTTCGTTGAAATGACCAGGAAATGCTGGAGGCACTGCTGGATCTGCGCGTGAAGTCCCCTTGGTCACTGTGTCTCAAGTCCTGCTGGGAGAAACCAAGGTAATGACCAAGGCCATTTGCGTGATGCACCTTGTTTTGACCCATTTCTTTTGGTCGCTCTGCGACAGATTGGTGGCTCTGAGGGGGACAGGTTGGCAAAGAGGTGAGGCAGGAATCCGTTGACACAGATGGATGCAGTAGCTTGTTCTGCTTTGCAGACTTCCTATGCCAACTATGTGCTTGCTGCAGCAGGGAGGGGAAAAAAAAAGAAATATTATATCAGTGCAAAATTGGCAGTCTTGCAACATAAGTCTCCATTGCTGAGCTGTTACTGCAAATAGCTACGAAGCAGACTTCATTCCGAATGCTCACAGCAAATGTTTCACTACAATAACGAAAACGCCCTGCCAAAATCCCAAATATTTACATAAGGAGCCTGGAAGACAACAAGGATAAATGGCAGAAGAGCCCTGCCTTGCTGTGTTACACGATTTTGGAGCCCTCACTTGCTATTGACTTACTCTGATTCATTCATATTGTTTTCCAACAATACTACCTTAGTGGAAAGCTTAAGAAGAAAAATGTAGACACTAGAAGTATATGCCCTATATTGTTCTTTCTCATTCTTTGTTACTGTGGTACAAATGATTTTTTCCTTTGAAAGATCAAAAAGCCTTTAAATGGCAACCGCACTCTCCCTCACCTCAACAAGAGGTGCTTTAAACTCTCTCATAGACATTTTCTCTTTCACATCTGGTGGGCTGAACGGGGCTCTAGAACACACTTGCTGTGTTAACTTGCTCCCAAAGACTAAACGGAGAGCTTCAAACACCTAATTTGCCTGTAAACACCTAGGTTAAAGAACCTGACAGACACAGTCTGAATTGGACCTGAATCTCATTCCTACCTGATCTGGCTTTGTGGGCAACTCAGCTAAGGCCCTAGTGTCCAAGCAAAAATGATCTTTTTCTCCATCTCAAATATTTTCTCCAGGCTTTCAGAAGTTTGCATTAAAAAAAAAATCATTTAAAATTCCTCTTACTGGGATTTCTTAAATGACAGAAAATTTTAGATTTTTGTTCCAAAACAGAATGGAACTAATGGGACAAAGTGCGAGATCATGTCCTGAAAAAGGAACAATAATCCCAGTTACAGGATTTGTCAGTCAGAAACAACAGATGAGATAGAATAAGGAATCTTAGTCACTATGTGCTGTCAAAGTGACAAAACTACGAGAAACACAATTCCAGGCAGTCTCAAACAATTTAGGTAAATATTAATGCAGTGAATAGGACACCAGTAAGTCTCATCTGGAGTGCTGCACATGAATCAAGTCCTGCATAGATATTAAAAAAAGAATAAATTCAAATTGAAAAAGTCGTAGGCACAGAAAAAAAAAAGAACTATACATTAAAAACTTAAAGCTGCAAAAGAAAAGAAAAAAGACAGATTTATAATCATAACAGAAGTGCAAAAACCTCCTGCTGGCAGAAGTAGCTAGAGATCTGATCAGTTTACACAGGAGATTATATGACGTGTCAGAAAGGGATGAAACCTGGCAACCCAGGAGGTCCTTTTTAATGCTGTCTCTAAAGAGTTTCCTACATTGTTGCTGCTGACATCTTGCTAGTGCACGTTGTATTGTCTTAGTGACCCATATCTCTCATATTTATCTTTTTTTTCCTTTCTTATTGCATTGATTTTGTAGGCATAAAAGAATTTTCACACCTGAAAAAAGTATTTTGCCGATTTGTGATCGCCTGGCTAGAGTTGATTGATAGGACAGGCAAAGCCTAGGAGTTCACTTAGACATTGCACATAAATATATTCCAATGTGTCCTTAATGAGGTATGTTAATTCATAAACTATCTTTGCGTAATATAATAAGCTGTTTCCCTTAATGCCATAAAGAATTATACTAATTCATGAGTCAAATTAGCAACATTACTGTAGCAGTGTCACTGATAAAGAATCAAGAATGTAAAAGAGTCAGATAAAGTGAGTCAATGAAACATCACCAGAAACAAATTTAGATTCCCAGAAACAAATTTATACATTTATGTGCAACATTATTTTATTTATGTAATAGGTGAGTTAATATGTTTTAGAAATTACCCAGCAAAGCAAGAGACTTGAGTTCCTGAAGAAAATTCCAGCTGTTTCATAACTGAAGACTTTTGGGAATAATCAAGAAATTGTATTTATATGCTGAAAGTTCACCAAGGAATCACCCCATTCTTTCCATGGGTTTGTACAAGAAATCATTCCACATTATATTACTGTTCGCACTAAGCAAGAGTTCTTATCTTTTCTGTGCAGTAGCTCTGTTAACTGATAAACTACATGGAATCAACCTGATCAACTGATAACACTGCGACATACTTCTACCTGCCAGAGGCAGGATTGTGGCCATGACTTGTTTTTTTTTTGCCACTGTGCTTGCTACTGCGTGCAAATATTGCACACGTATTTGATCATTCAGCCCATCAAGCACCTCAGGAACCCAATACCCCAAGTAAGTGCAGTCTTCTTGTTTCTAACTCATGCTTTTTTCTGATATGGGTGGAAAGGGTGAACACATGCTTGAAATAATAGCTTTAATACCTTAGCCTTAAAGCAATGTAACTGAGGATGCTGAACTGCACAACTGTACTGTAGTGCCAGAAGCTCCATCTCACAAGGGAGACAGGAGGAAGGGCTAATGAATGGAGATTACAGGCTAATCCTCTATACTGCAGAACTGGATTAGGTGGACTAGTAAGTCTTTGCTGTATCTACATTCAGTTGCTTGTCAGAGATCACAGAGAGGATTCGCGTTTTAGCCAGGATTAAAACTCAGGCAAAAGCAGCTCCTAGTTCTGCGCCAAGGCCATAGGTTGTGCTCCTTCCTGCTGTCCTCAGCCTCTACACGGGGAACAGCACACCCTGTGCATGCTCCTGTTACTGCTCTTTATTTAGATCATGCTGTGCATTACAGTTCCACAAAGTTAAAGAAGAGCCAAGCAGAATTTCCCTGTGTGACTGTTCACAAGGAGAAACAATGACAGGAAAGTACTGTCTGGGTCTTGGGGTGCTTAAAACAGAAGAACACAGTTCTGTGTGTTAGACAGTGTCAAGCACACTCAGTTCCTCCTTTTAGCAGAATGGCTTTTTTCTCCTTTCCTTTTTCCCCTTTTCTTACTTCCCTTTGGAATTCATCCCATCAGCTTTAATTTTTATTTATTACTCTACTTTTGTTTCATAAGTTTTTCTCTCCAGTCTCCTCATAGTTTGCTTTCTGCATTGACTGTTACTGATGCCTGTCGGGAATGAGAGGGGTAGGAATGCCAGAGAGGGCACCAGCCATTGGCACAGAACAAAGACTCGATACAAACTGATGTGCCACTCACACAAGCCTCTACCGTGGCTGAAACACTGATTTGGACTGAAATTCAAAACACAGAGAGAGATGTCAGACCTTTGCATAAATATGCATAGCAAAAAAAAAAAAAAAAGGCTATTGGTTGAACAGGTTAGCTCTCTACTAAAACTTTTTTTTTCATCTAATGCTAATCTGATATTCATTTATAATCTCTGCATCTCTGCACAAATCTTTGTGAAGCCTGGAGGGATTTAGAGTCTTTGTGTATGACAATAGACTGTAGAAGAATTTCATGACAAATATGCAGCAATTCAATAAACAACCTGGGGAGAACTTCCCAGAAATGTACTTTCAGCTTCCCTTGGGCTGCCGATACTTGATGAGAGAAAATCATGAGTGCTTTTGTGCAGTCTATTTTATCTGCTTTTTAAGAAAGTAGCTACTAGCCTTATTGTACATTATGTGTATCAAACATTGCCAACGGGCCTCAGCTGAGATCAGAACCCAGTCAGGCAGTCATTAGAGCAATGACATTGCCACTGCATTTTGCCAGCTTTGTTCAACAGGAGTTAAATGATGTTTAACTGCTTTAAATCACTGGGACTGATCCAGAATTTAAAAAATAAATAATTTGAGAAAAAGTGGCAACTTTAGTCCTCAATATATATATTTTTCCTAATTAAAAACTGTCATGACATTAATTTCTTTGTATTTATCTTCCAGAGAGGCCTCATTGATCTGTTTATACACAGGCAAACAACTGTTGTAAGACAATAGTTACTAGTAGCTGGGAGACGAGATGACAGGAATCCTGAATTCTGCCTCTTCCAGCTCTAAAAACAGTTGATGAAATCACAGTTTCTCAGCTTGGAGAAATCACAGTCTCACAGATTACTCATAAAACTGAGGTCACATACCTCAAAAGAACACAAAACCATGAGGCCCCATTAACAGGTCTTACTTGAAAGGCAAGAAGTATTCAGAAGGGTAGACAACATGAAGATACAAAAAATGTACAGATTCAACTTAAAGTTGAACTGAACATATTTTTAAAAGTGGCATGTACTATATTTACAAAGGTAAAATGGTTGGGGGTCTTGTAGCATTATACATTTACTTTCAATAGCTTTTGTTGGTTGTATTATAGGTGTAAAGTCATCAGAGAACTTGCTATTCCAGGTAAGACAATCTCCTAAAAGACACAGAAAAAGTATCTTGTGATGAAGAAAAAAACAAAACAAAACAATCCCTTTCTGCTTGAGATGGCTACCACGACTTCAACCCAGGATTTTGTGTCCCCATCAAAAACAGCCATTAGCACTAAGAAGAGACAAACACCCATGGCACTAAAAGGAAGAGAAAAATGCTGAGAGTGCAATATTTTCAAAAAGAAGCATCTAATGTTAGACTTGGGCATTAATTAATTCATATTTTTGCACCTGCCTTGACTGAGTAAATGTTTATCCTGCAAGTCTGTCATTTTCAGCAGTTTCAACAGAAATTCAAAGCAATGTTTGTAAATGACAAACACATTCTTCTTTGTCCTTTATGCTTTTCCTGCTTTTCTCTTTGGGTTCAAATCTGCTCAATCTATCATCTGCATGGTTAATTTAAGCAAACTTGCAGCTGTTTTCTCATCTCCAGTTTTCTTCTCGCAGATCAAACTGTTCCCTGCAACACTGCACTTTCTTTTCCCAGCTTTGCCTTTCCTCTCTTTGCCTTTTCTGCTTGCTGGTGTACTTGCTCCTTTTTCTCTCTAATATTTGCACTTAATTGAATGACTCAAGACTACAAGAGCAGAACTGTGTTTTCTTTTATTTCCCAGAGTCTGTAGCGAGTGACTCTTACTTAATTTAAAATCAGACAGGTCCATCGTCCAGTC